TACGGCAAGGCCTCAGTTTGAGATTTTCCCGTAACGACCTCACTCTCGGTTATTAAGTAGTTATTATTAAAATGATAATTAAAGTAATAAATGAATAATGAATAAACGAGTGTCGGACTAAGGCCCTGTCCACACTACGATGGAGGAATTTGAAAACGCAGCTTTATTTCTACGGTTGAGCCTCCATCCACACTAATCCGTCACGAAAACGGTGCTTTTCGAAAACGTTCTTTGAAACCAGAAGAATTTGAAAACGCCGGCTTTACGTCCGATATACCAATCTTTTTTGGCTATAAAAATCCAAATTCGCATGTAGGCAATTGAGAGAAAGAACCCACAAACAGCAGCAGCAGCAACAACAACAACAACAACATACTTTAGTTTGTCACAGTTTACATTTACAAATTAAATTCAGTTTTTAATGTTTGTAATGTATCTTTTCGAATTAATAAATATTAAATTTAGAGTATGGGGATCAAGCAAACCATTCGGTTTTCTAGTTGGCCCCCATATTTACAAATTTAGTTACTTTATCGGTACAGCTGGTGAGGAACCAGAAAGGACCGGAGAAAATAATAGAAATAATAGACATAATGAGCTGCAATCGAACAAAACAAATTACAATTACAGTGAAATAAGATAAAAAGTAAGGTAAAACGGACAAGTTAGGAGAGAGCGAGTTTAAACAGAGCAAATAGCAATGGCTACAGGAAGTCAGTTGTTTTGGAAATTGTTTAGACAGTAGATAGCATTTGATGTTTTAGAAAAAGCCTACTCACGTTTAGATCTTTTAGGTGTTAGGGATGGTTTTCCAAAGATCAATTGCCTTAATTAAATGAGATCATCTGCTTGCCAATATGTATACGTTCTAACGTATGGCTTGTACAAATTTTGTTTCTTTGCATATCAGCTCATATCTACAATCCTGGCCAAAAGTCCTTGGGACACAAAATGACAACCGGTGACGCATTACTTTGAAGTGGGAAGTCATTAATTAATTTGTCGAGGGATAGTGGGTCTTCTTTGGAGAAATCAATCTCAACATCGTGTTGGGGGTGGCGAGGGGGAGGTAGACAGGAAGACCATGTTGGCATAAGTGCAAAGTGTCCCAAAACTTTTGACCAGGATTGCATTCTTGCAACTATGCACGTCACTAGCATAAAGGAACCAAGCAAGAACGACGCTTACGTTTGGATCTTCCCCTCTATGGAGCACACTTACTATTGTATTACATATCAGTGACAAAACAACTTCCTTAAGTAAACAGAAACAAAACCCTTTTTCTGTACGAGGACAGCCAAATCCTTTCTTTTTGCTTCTTTACACTTTGAAGTGGGTACACTTCGTAATTGGGTTAATAATCAAGTCAAGAGAAACAAATAAGGAGATGTCAGAGAAACATGTTCATCGTGAGGCGACGCTAGGAAACTAAATTGTTAATTAAATTACGATGCCAACTGTGTTTTTTTGGGAAGTGTAAAGTTTTATATTTAACACTAATGGCTCTTCGGTGGCCACTGCTTGATTGTTAAAATAATATTTCTAGATATGTGAACTTAACTCGTTTTCAGTGCAGTTTTTGAGTGTTGTTTGAGTGTGAGTCAGTGAATAAATGAAGTCAAAATTGTAAATTTGTAATCCCCCTTGATAAGCCTAGGTGCTTTTGGGGAAAACAATAACAAATATGTTTAACCAAAAAAAATGGTTAATCTCCTTACATATAACCTTACCTAAGAAAACAAGAAATATAAACACACCCAATTTTACCCCTACGAGAACTAATGATGACTTGGCTCACAATACAGTGGATTCCCGGAGTTTTCGACACTCCACAGGAAACGAAAATTGGTTTGAAAAGTCGGGTAAACTGATTACAATGTTCCACTGAGACGAGGGAAACAAGTTTCGTTCGAGTTATCGGGAGATTCCAAAAATCGTGGGTTCGAGAAATTGGGATTCTACCGTTCCTACACATGCATATGTTGCCATTTTTGATTAGAGGGGAACCCTAGTCTAAGCAATGGACGACAGCTGTATATGACAGTCGGTCAAGGAGGGCTTTGCTCCCACTCCATTCGATGTACTTTCGTTCTTTGGAAAATGAACAACGACGGAAGTACTTTCGGTGATGCGATCTTTAAAGGCACCCAGGTATTCATCCTGTAAAAGACAAGAAAACATTTCTCACGCTGTAGATTGTCAAACCGCTTCAAGAGTCAGATATCGTGTTTGTTGTCATGGTTTTATTTAATCGAATCATACACGTGGCGAACAAGAAGTGTTCAACTCACTGTTCTTGGGTTAATTTTATCGAAACTTTTAAACCTTGACAATAATTTTGTTCGAAATTCGTGGGAAAAATGAACACTCGGTCGAGCCGAGGGATGGACCAAAGCTCATTCTACAGCACTGCTTCTGGAACAAATGTTGGTTCCAGGGGGTGGAGATGTGATGATGGTCTGTGTACACAATCGTTTTCCGAATACTGGAGTTAGTATATTTTAATTTCTTCCGACTGAAAAATGCAAATAGCACCACAAATGTTTGCAGAGGAATGAATTAACGAGGGTGAGAGGAAATCCAAGCGAATTTGAGACGAGGCTCCCCAGCTGTTAAAAAAAAACAACAAAAAAAAAAAAAACGATTTTTCTCTACAGTTGGAAAAGGAAAAAGTTGGAAAAGTAAATAACCGTTAAGTATATCATTGGTCCTGCGTGTTTGAGAATAAAGCAGACATCACTTACTTGTTTCTCTGTGGCACTTTTATCAAAGTTTGAGATTTGTAACTTGTCCTTGATTATCAAGTCAATCTTTTCTTCAACTAGAACATAATGTAAGCATGAGCATCATCAATAACTACATAGGGGATATTACGTAACCGCACGGGGATACAAATTCAATCTTCGAGTGTTGATGGTATCTCGATTTTTCTTCATTTTAAACGGTGAATTAACAGTGGTCACCTTAACCGAGGATGGGACTATGTTCAAAAACGTGTAAATAAAAATGACAAGAAATTTATCTAAACGCAAAGATATGTTCTTTCCTGGGTTAAAAAGTTAAGCTCAAGTTTAATGATGTTGAAAGAAAAATTATACATGTTCTTAACCATGACGAAAGCGATATCCTAACATGTGAACGATACAAATAATATGCGCGCAACGTTGAAATGAAATTCTAGCTAGAAACGAGAAAAATCCTGGTATTTCATCAATATCACATATATATGATAACTATAGTTGCTAAATAAAACAGTTCAATCGCTCCCTGTAGCGATTGTCTGCCGATTAGAAGGTGTATTTTGCAAAATAGGAAAACTTTCAATATCCCAAAAATCCGGAGATCTTTTCCCCATAATCTTCCAGGGGCGGATCCAGGATTTTTCTTAGGAGGGGTTGTACCACTAATGAATGGCATGACCGACTGGTGAGGTAAACAAATTTTAAAAGCGAATATCAAGAAGAAGGTTTCATCTCAGGAGGGCGGTGAACACCCCCTGTACCCTCCCCCTAGATCCGCCCCCGTTTTGCTACCACGCTTGATTAAAAACCAGTACGCTTATTCTTCTGTAAATGAACACAATCCTGAAATAGGTAAAATCAAAAAGGCTTACTCGACAAAGGAAGTGATCACCGTAGTTCTTTGTGTAGCGCTTGGTGATTGTCGGAAACAAACAATCGCGGTAAAAGATCCTGTATTCTTTCAGTCGATTATCTGCGTCCTAAATTTAAAAGGCACGTGTAGTAGGTTACTGAAGGAATGGGATTTTTGACGTCGTAGAATCTCTGCATTTCTCTCACTTTGAAATTGGAAATATGAACAAAGAGGTAGTCCTTTGCATTAAAATACATGGCTGTCACAAATCAAACATTCTATTGACGATGAATAAATGAATGAATGAATGAGCTTTTATTTCATTGTCTGAGTATTAAGCTTAGATAATTAATTGTGGACACTCAATAATAATAAAAATAAATGAATAAGAGACATCAATGTGTACACATATGTTAAAATTGTTCTAAGGTAAGAGATTATCCAGGTAAGAGAGTGAATCCCTCTTAAGTTATTTTTAGACATTACACTCAGTTCTTTAGCGGATATTACTCGCTTGTCACGTGGATTTTTTCGTGGAGGATCTGTTTATGTCGTTTCGTTTCGTTTCAAAGCAAAGGAAAACCTCCAACGCTGTGGGGATGTCTTCTTTGATATTTTAATTACAAACGAGGAAGCGTCGGCTGTGTTAATTACAAACGAGGAAGTGTCGGCTCTTGCTACGTTTTAAAACATTTCATAACTTTAATAGGAGTATAAATAAGAGACGGATGTCCCCGGCACAAACAATAAAAACTGAATGAACGGCAGAGAAATGTTTAGACTTTCGAGAGCAAAGCAAACAAACGCCCAAACACAAGCTA